TGGAAACTCATACTATGTGCCGTAGCTTTTAATACCAGTCATAAAAAGACATCACTTATCGAGAGTATTTATATCTTGTTTAGCTTTGGGGCATAGATGTTTTCCGGCAGAATGGTAGCAGAAACGTGAAATATAATTTTAATTCATTGCACGATGTTCAAGTCCCTCATTAGAGATTAATTCTAAGATCTCCGACGCACAAACCGGTCATATTAAGACTTATAAGACGAGATAAATATACAACATTTAATACAATAAAGAAATAAGTTGAATTCTTCCGACAAACATAGCAATGTAGTCAAAGCTACTATAACTCGTTTATCTGTGCCAAGTATGAGGATCTAAGTAACTATGGCTTGGCTCATTTGATATCCAGATATGTACGCGACTCATTTCTGCCAGAACTTGGGCAGGTATATTTTTGGCTTCGAGGGAGATGAGGGATGAATACGCTTGTTTCTTGCCAGCCAATTTTTGTACTAAGGCAAACTGTTGTAACCGGACATCCAGTTCTCCAAACAATCTCAAATCTCTGCGCATAAAGTCTAGAAGAATCGCAGCATTGGTGTTTTCTGCATCGAGTTTTGTCGTAGGCCACCAGGAATGCTTCCCAACCTGTCGTTCAAAAATGTGTAGGTGGCCGAAATACCAGACCAGCACCTTCTGTATATTCCCTACATTCTTTGCTGCATATAATTGAGGACGTGAGACCATATCTTTCAGAGCAAGCTGGTTCTTCACATTTACTATGGGAATATCACCTTTATTCTCTGGAGCCAATTTGCTATAAACCCCTGTTACTGACAATAAGCCCTGATGAGCCAAGCTGATGATGTCACGGCTTGAACATGTATCATCTTGTGCAAGCTTTTTCGATCCTTGTTCTTCGAATCTCGATATTTTCTCCCACTGTTTAAAAATGCGCGCCCAACATTGCTGCTCTGAAACCGTAGCAGACTCAGGATCTATCACTTGTGTTTTGGTTACCGGAGTTTGACCATGCACGAGCTCTTTAATTATTTTCGTAGTCGATAAGTGTCGGTTCACAGGTGAATGGCGTATGGATAAAGGGCTTGTATTAAACATTTACTTCCAAAAGTATTGGTCAGCGAATCACGTGATTTAATCAGGGCGCTAAGCTTCATTTTGTACTTTAGATATTAATGCTTGAGGAGGGATACAGAAGAGAGATAGACAGAATATATCACTTGTTTTTAGCACTTTTAAGGCATTAACCCAAGTGAACCCCGTTGTACCAACAATAAGGTAGGTGAGCAGTAAGCCATTACTTTGGTGCCGGAGCCATATTTGTTCTCTGAGGTTGAAACAATGTCAAGATTTGCGTTAAGTTTCGGGAAATATCGCGACGATGGGAGTTGGTAGGCACCGTAAAAGGAGTTTCTAGGCTCATCCCCAAGAATAACTAATCTCTGAGGTTCAAGCACTTTAAGCTTGGGGGTATTAATTTCTTCATCTTCTGAGTGGTAACTTGGAGATTGATCATATCGCGCGGATCTATAATATGACTGATGAGATCTCGTCGGAGAGTCATGAACTTTTTGATTCAAGAAAAGAAACACATAGGCGCAGGATATCATGGCTGATGAGCGTTAGGTTTTGTTACACCTACTAGTTGACATGCGTATTGTGAAGGATCAAGTGGTTACGACCAAAGACGATGCTTTTCGTTAAAGAGTTCTGATGACAGGTATTTGTCCTTTCCCTGGAAATGATGGGAACGATTGGCGCCGCTTTATTTTGTGACGGTAGTTGTGACTCGAGGAGAAAGACTTTTCAGTGCCTTTTGATTGTTCGACTAACACATTATTTGCATTTGTGTAGGTTTCTTTTGAGAAACTCATTTCATCAAGGCAATACGAGTCAGCTAGCTCGTGAGTAGTGAGGAACGGTGGCAGGTATGACTGTGGAAAGCGTATTCCTTCTGATAAGACTCGGCTGAATAACTGAAATAGAAATTGAAGAAAAGCGGGTTGTGTTGGATTGAGGAATATGGATTATCTCCGAGCTGTATTGCAAATACTAGCATTTTGTGGGCCTGCCGGGAGTCGATTGATGGATAATTTTAAAATGGAGTCTCTACTGCGTTCAAGACTGTGGAAGACTACTCAAGGATCCAATTAAACTGTTCCTTTGATTTTTGGTGAAATTTTCAATGGGAATATGGCAATTTAATGCTAGTTGATCTGGAAGGTCGAGTCCTCCTTCTGAGAGTCGTGAGACGCACAGCTTGATCCATAAGCAAATAATTGCGTATTCGAATGAAAAATCTTAATCATAACCATTCCGATTAGATTAGATTTATTTTAAAGTCCTACCTGAGTCAACGACTGCAGAGGACTCCTAGAATCTATATACAAGATACTAGCTACATTCTTGAAGTTTAATTATTTAACTTTATGTTATGATCTGCTGGCAGGAGGGGGACAAGCCCTAGATAACTATTCTGATGTGCATAGTACTTCGTGATCTCTATAAATAGAACAAAAAACAACGGGCGGATACATGGAGTAGCAAGTCTTAGATTGTTCAGTTGGGAGAGTTTAAAATTTGGATAAATTTTCATAGCTATATAGCTGAATACAACATGATATAAATTTTTTTTTAAAAAAGCACTTTGTGACCTCATTCTTGTTGCCACTGGTCCTTGTAATAAACAGCATTTATTTGCTGATACTGTTAGTCGTTAAATAACACTGATCGCGCAGAGTGTTAATATAGATAGGAAAGGATTAAAGAGCTAAAACAGAAAATGTGGGATACGTAGATAAATGTTTTATGAATTGCCTTAGCTGAATAGCGGAATACAATATGATGAACCATCACGCTCCTGTGAAGCCCGTGCACGGAGGGCAATGACTCAACACCCGTACGCGTCGACCCCTCCAAACCTGGTAGTACAATATTCTGACAGAGCCAATCTCAGTCAAATTTTCACTCCCAACGAGGCCGATCCCTATCAACGCCTCACAAAGTTTAAAGCAACGACTCAATACATCCTCCAGTCAATGACCACACCTCTCGTCGGCTTTCTCTGGCCTCAACTGACCACCAAATACACGTCCACGCCGATATTTTCACCTGACAGAGGAAACTTGGCGTCGCACACGAATATAGGAGGCACTTCTTTGGGATGAAATTGAAAAGGAGCAGGCAATTTTATAAGATTATGCAGAGGATGGATACAATCTCGATGAGCGCGGATTTTTCAAATTTGGCTAGGAGTTTCACGAATTGAGTTTTGTGCGTGCCAAGTCTTAGGTTGCGAAACTGCAAATGACATTATCCATACCGCTATGGCTGAATGGTGCGGTGGTACATTATCCAGCCCGGTCCTCAAAGTCTGGTCTGGTTAGCTTGGACATACATACCAATTGAGACAGTAGATCGCTGCTACGAATCCGGCAAAACACACTACATTTCTCGTGGTGCTGGCATACATGGATGACGAAGGCATACCTATATAATTAAAGTTTTTGAATTTCCTTTAGGTGGGTGCTAACGGAGGAGAATCGACTGTTTGTGTAAGCAGACATACCTCTATTTTATCCCCCGAACTCTATTCTGAACCTAATCTTCAAAATTTCTTGTTGACTTCCTATTGAGTTGTCTTATTCTAACTTCCTTTGTGTGCTGCCATGCACATGATTGCGCCAGGAGGACTATTCAAAATACCTGTCAGTGGTGTCCCCTTGTGACGGTTATCAAGCCTAAGGGTTCTTGTAGCCTACGCTGTCTAGCGCAGGCAATTATACGAAGGGAGGTTCCTGGGAAGATCTTGGATGACAGGGAACCTAGATGATTCACATTGAGCCTTGTTGAAACCTACTGAGAGTTCATGAGGGTTACAGAAGTATCATGGATCTACAGGCGATTGTCGGAGAGTCTGAGTTGACAAGTCATAGAGAGAACCTTATCGAGGAGGGGTATTTCAGTCTGTATATATAGGTAGTCATTAGTTAAAGAAATTATCTCTTCAGAGAATTATAATTAAAATATTGTACCTACAACATCGCTCAAGCATTTTGTAATGAAAATGTGACACCCCTACGAACCTCCAGCTCTCACTGTAGAGTCTGCAGAGCCGAGATTGAGTAACAAAGTCTTCACTCCGATGAGGACTCCCAATCGTTTTCGCGATCTGTATCGTCTTCATCTCTCAACACATTCCCCCTATTACCATTATCATAAAGATAACCACCATCAGATCAGATGGTAGGGTCGGAGCTCTACTCATCACCAACCCTTGGCCATGGAGGAGAAGCCATCCGAGGAGTTTCCGGAGCGTACCCAGCACCCGATACGGAGATGATGGATTGGATAAAGTCGGCCTCGACTGTTACAAAGAAGGGAGATAAAGATGAATATACGCACCTCATGTGGTCCCGGTGTCTAGGCCACGCCTGGCTGGGGCTGCAGGTTTTTTGAGACTTTTTCCCGCGCACGCAGTTTCCATTGCTACCATTTTATTTTTATTTTTTTTGGGTAGAAGGTTCCGTGGAAAAGGTGGCCGAATTCCACGGGTAAATACTGAGCTGAATGGCTATTCATCACGGGCAATATATCAATGATCTTTCAAGAGACATGAGAGGCAAGGAGCACTGTACAAGATGTGGCCTGGGCCAGAGAGCAGCTCGATGTGCTCGGATAGTCTACGACTCAAGTAGTACAATAAAAAACACTCTCACTCAATATAGCAATAAGTATGCGAAGAATTTAATTCCATGTTTCATGATAACTATACTTCAAGTGGATTGAGTTTACTTTCCTTTACAACCCTCAAACTGATTTATCCCAGTGCCAAGCGTCTATTTCTGCTGCTTGCCGTCAGACTCAAGTACTTGTTGAGCCAAAGACCACATACCGAAATCTTTCGCTTTGGAATTACTCGGCAGAATCAGGCAAAATCGAGCATCGTAAATTGACTATAATTATATGCATGCAGCACATCCAAGAAATAAGGATTATTATTTTTACAAATATTAAAAGCTAGCCTGCTTTATACTCTTTGAGTCGAAACATTTCCCACGATCAGAACTTAAATAACTAAGCGAGACTTTTCGCGGTATCTTAAATTCCGTGGAAATAACTTCGGCCATTAATTTATTCGTGCTTATATCCTTATTAGGCTGGACGCTGGGTGATGGCCGCCAAAAATAGTCAAATAGACTTCGTTGTGGACGAGAACTTTCGATTTTCAGATCCAACTGTTTGAACAATCCTAAATTATGTCGCAAAAAGTTTATGATAATGGCACCATTATGTTCTGTTGAGCCTATCTCTGTCACAGGCCACCACAATTTATTTATACCATCTCTCCTGAAAAGATGGAGCTGACCAAAATACCAGACAAGCACCATCTGTGAATTATATTTCTCCCATGCCGCGTAGATTTGGCCTTCCTGGACTAAATTTTGCAGATCTAACGGACCACTGAAAGCTACTTGAGGGACATTCTGCCCATTAGATGGAGCATAAGGGTAGTAGACTCCGGATACTGATATATCGCCCTGAAAAGCCAAGCCGATAATATCGCTATTTGAACAGATAGAACTTTGAGTGATTACCTGTGTCTGTGACGAAGCTCCCTTTTGAACACCTTCCAATTCGGTATAAATATGTGACAAGCAATTTTCTGATGACAGAGCACGATTATTTAACTTTGGATATTGAAATTTGACTCTGGGGCCTAGCTGTTCCTGGATTATTGCTGCTATTTGCATGGAAGACAAGGTGGGAGAGCAATAAGCCTGAAATCTCGTGTTTTCACGGCTCACTTGCTCCTTTGTCTTGAATATATCGTACTCTCCAATGATTTTAGGAAAGTCATTGTAGTCCTGAGTTTCAAAATCGCCATAGAACGATTGCTTAGTTTCCTCGGCTAGAAGAACCAAACGCCTCAAGTTTGGCACTTGTTTCGAAGGTCGTTCTGATGCTAGGGACTCCTTGCTATAAATTTCGTTCCACTTCATCAGGAGGAGAAATGCAAAGGCGCAGGATATCATGGTTGACCTGTTTTATATTTCCTTATACCTGCAGCTTAAAGTGTCTATCTTGACGGATCGAGTGGTTACGGCCAGATACAATGCTTTCAAAAATTTTTGCCGATACAATGCTCAGTGTTTCTCAAAGATAAATCAAAAATTACTTCCCGATTTTAGGCAACTGAGTCTATGAATTTTAAAGAAGAATGGTGGTTAATTTTTTTCCATGAGAGGCTCCGAACCACCTCAATTTTTGGCGTAGTCCTTCTTCGAGCCTCATTTCATTATCGTTTTGCGAGTCAGTCTGGTTTAATTCCATAGGTGGCAGTGACAGGGATGGCAGATGATGGTGGGTTCCTACTTTCTAGGCTTCTTTATTGAGGTAATTTAGAGAGAAGGATGCGGGATGCGATGAACACTCGAATTTGGGATTTATGATCTACATATCATCGTATTACTCGGACAATCTCCTATTTGACTGCTGATAGTGGCTAGACGCGCCCTGCCATACCATAATTCAAGTCGCTGCTCTAAGGGAAGAAGTCCTTCATAGTGATAGACTCAGTAGGGACTTAAATTCAATTCTATTCTATTCTTAGGGAATAATAGTTCAGCATACTTTTATAAACGCAAGGTACTCACCAATTTTCGGCGATAATTTGATCTAGCGTATACGCTCCATGAAATTATCATCGACATATAAGCCATTACCATTTGTCAATAGAGCTGGTGGGGATATTGTAATCAAATTTCCAAATTCAGACGTATCAAAATATCGGCACTTATTTGCATCCCCACAACCCACAACCTACTTGCCTGCCTCGATCTTCATGTCTGCTTCGATTGATGGGGGAGAACTTAGTCTTGTATCAAAGCATCCAAGATATCCCTTAGTCATCACGTACGACAAGTGAGGCGGACCAACAACAATTTTCATCCTCATCTCTAATGGCTAAGAGATCTTCTTCATCCGATCAACCAGTGTCAAATTTTCTTTTTCAAACTAAGCTCACCACCAGAGGATGTGGTTGACGGAGCTAATGAGTGGAGATTACCAATGATACAATGCAAGGGAGCCTTTAACACACATTTCCCGTCTATCCGTTGTCCGTTCTCCCGTGAAATCGTAATTTTAGACCCGGAGAAAGGAAAAAGATATTGCGTGCGCCGACAGCAGTTCAGAACTAGTCGAGAAGATACTACAGTTCTTGGCACGCGGTGTATTAATTTTCCAGAGGAAAGTAAAATGTTTTTGAGATAAAAACCGACGCGTATTGGCCACAATGCTCTTATTGTAGACTTCAAGGGCCTCTACGTTTGGATGATTCTGTAGACGAGGAAGCTGCATACGTAAGCTATCAGCACAGACATTAATTGTAGAGGTCATCAGATAACTGACTCTGTCGAGTTCGAGTCGTTTGAATGATCGAATCCAACTGTCTCCTGGCAATGAAGATTCGCTTAACTTTCCGTACGTTCATAATTTTCACGTTTCGAATCTCCATGCTAGAACGATGAGATATACGAAGGTAGTTTATTATTTTCTCTGTAGCAAATCTATGCACGTCCCGCTTCAACTATTGATAAAATTGCTATTCTATTTAGAATATTCTTCCCGCCTGTAACCAGTTTCTAGTATTTTCCTCTGAGGCTATCTCGCAGTCTTACTACTGGTTACTAGAAATTCCTAGCGACGTCCCGATTGATCTATGTTTTTTTTTTTCGTCCAACGGGGCCCCAAGCTCGACTTAGGTCCCTACTACCCACTAAACTACCTAGAGGCATCAACGCCAGTGCTTACTGCCCTGGTGGCTTCGCCCTTGCTACTTCCTAACTAGGTTTGCAGGGCAATTCTCTAATTACATGATTGCGTGTAGCGTAGCACCTGCACTTTTACAGCCAGTCCTCAAGGCTCGTTACTCCTTTGATGTATTACCGCTACTCTCGGGATGCTACTAATAGATCCATTCAGAAATACCGCACCATCCATCCATAATGCAAGGCTCAAAGTCGAGGCAGAGTTTAAGACCTATTTATTCCTTCTCTGGGAATTCTAGGGCAGGTCTTTAGGTAAAACTCAGAAAGAGAAATCCACTTTGCTACATGTAGGACCCCTTCCCAGGTTCCTGGCAAAAATTTCTTTGGGTCCCTTGAAGATAATGGAGCTCGAGGAGGTCTGTGTGTGATTAGGTGGCACTCTAGGAAGTGCAATGGGGCTTTGAGCTGTCCGCAGTCACAATGAAGGTTAGCGCCCTCGTGATTGAAACGGCGGTGGTATTCTGCAAAGTCACCACGTCCTGAGCGGGCAGCGTATAGTCTAGAGAGAAACGGTCTAGCTAGTGAGAGTTCCTTAGGATGACGAGAGTATGAGTCGATGGCAAGCTCCATGTACGAAACTGGGGCATGTCGGTCCCAGTAGTCTTTCATAGCCGTCGAAATTTCTACATTGATGCGATTTTGCGCGGTATCAAAAGAAACGTACCCACGAGGTTTAGGCGGGGGTTTTGAAAGCCCCTCCCGGGCAGAGGCAGAGGCGAAAACGTTACCCAATATATCAGAGTGGCTTGGGATCCAATAAGCCTTGACTTTCTCGGGAGGGATGTGTGGGAGCCGGGTGCGGAGAGGCCAGTCTTGGGAGAGGGCCTGTATTTGTTGAAAAACAACTTGTGAGGAGCAAATTGGGGACCGAAATAAAAGGCGAGCTACCTCCAGGTTATCTGTGAGTATCCAAAAATTTTCCGAGAAATGTGCTGTTAGTAGGGAAAGCGCAGCTTTGAGGACTTCTTTCACGGCGTTCACTTCTGTGTCGAAAGGAGACAGCGTCGAGTCAAGGGACAGACTCTCGCGGTAAACCATCTGGCCAGCTTGAAAGACAATTATTCCACCGTCTGTCCTGGACCATTCTACTATCTCAGATCGAGCGCCATCTGTATAGACTGCTAGATCTCTGAAAGGGATGCCAGAAGGGAGATTAATGGGAGGGTGCGTAACTCGCCTTACACTATTATACCGTGTCTCACTTTTGAGCCATGGCGGGTGAATCAGAGGGCCGATGATTTCAGTGTTCGGAATTGGGAGAACCCAGCTCTAAATCAGGAGGGAGGAGACTTTATTCGCGGTACAGAATAGGGATTGGCGTAGTCCGATATACAGGTAGGATAGCTCTGGCCCCCGTTAGAATAACTTTGCGGAGGGTGGAAAGGTGTGCTTCGGCTCGATTCGAGATGAGTCTATTGCTGTATCTGGTGCGGCCAGGCCACCAAGTCTCTGCGCCATAGTAGGCTATGGGACGTGTGCAAGCTAAGATGGCTTGTCGGATAAGTTGGGGGGGCGCTCCTCGGACGGTGTTGCTGAGAGAACGGAGTGCGTCGGCAAATTTAAAAGCCTTCTCAGCAAGTATACGGACATGCCATTGAAATGAGAGGGTTCGATCAAAGTGGACCACTGAGGGGTTTGAATCTGATTTTGATTTCAATTAACCCAATAAGGCACCTTATGGGTCCATGCAGGTGACTATCTGCATTATTTACAAAGGAGGAAACCAATTCGGTGAAAACCGCCTGATCCTGTCTTTTTATGTTCCTATCAATTCATTTGGTTTACCTTCAGGAAGCGCAGTGTACAGTGTACACTGTTCAGCCCGTGTGGATTCCGTCCTCTCCCCTACCAGATCTATTTACTTTATCCGACATTGCCACCTCGAGTCCCCCTGCAAATCGAAACTGTTTTATCCACCTTTTATTTAGTATCCACTGTGCAATTCTAGCCACGTTTTCTGGGCTGTTCATCATTGCTTCAAATGACCTGTCTTTAGCTTGTCGGAGAAAGTCGCCTCTTCCATTTGCCCACTGCGGACACGCCAACACCATATGCCTGACGTTTTGCGACGGATATTCACATTGACAGCTTGGCTTATTTACTCCGGGTACTTTTCTTCTGCTCAGGTAAGAATTGAGTCCGATATGCTCGCTCCTTAGCTGAATGGCGACACTGCTTTGGGCCGTGATTAGGTTACGCCGCTGAGGGGTTATTAACTCCTTAATGAGTTTCGAATATTTTCATGGCACGTGATCACAATCATGTGACACTGGATAATTACCGGCTCACAAGCCGCTACAATAATCACAGCCTGCACAGAATTCTAATCCCAGCATATCTTGGGCTCTTGCTCCGGCGGAGGGAGTTAATGCATTCAATATCTGGGTGCGTGTCACAAATTTCTTCGAAAGGGCACAACAACAAGTCTGATTCGAACAAAATCACGATTTGAAGTAGACAAATTTTTCCTTTCATTCTTGTTATACATTTTTTTCTTCATTTAGTACCACATGCATAGCATGCGATTCGTTGTACGGACGACCTCCATGTAAACTGTAATCTTCGAGCGCAGGATGATAAGATCCCCCCTATCATTTGCTTTGTTGGGTCGGTGTAGACGCCAACACGTCGGCTACTTTAATTTAGACTGGCCTAACCGGCACGCGAGTAGTTCACGTGCTGTGCGCGGGCACGAAGTTAAATATTATAAATAAGTAAATAAATCTACATAGCCTGCGGGTGTTTGGTCAATTTGGAACAATCATCCCTAATATACACATCTCCAATAACGTCACCGAAACGCAACTTGTATCAGGCTTTGGCCCTAGATCCGAGGGCCGGGATAAGGTTATGTTATCAAGCCAGACTCACCATCTCCGTCGCATGTGGATTTTAGTTGCTAGACCTGGCGGTGTATCTTATCACGACCAGAGTGTGTGCTATGGAATGCACAGATGCCTTGTCACACTGATGCAATTGCGACAACACTGTTGAAGGTTGTATGAAAATTTGGCACTTTTGAAGTTCCTGATGGATTAATCTGTGTAAAGGTGAGATAAGCTTGGTTTTGTGATGGTGTGGGTTGCGGGTGTCTCGTGGCTCCAAACTACAAATATGTATATTAGGGCCTAAGACTGAATGTAACTTGATTTTCTATTAATACAGGGTATCGTCTATTTAACTACAGTATTCCTTATCTTGCGCCCGGACTCCAACGTGAATAATAATTCATAAGGAGAGCCGCAAATATTGTTACAGATGAGACAACAGGCAGAAAAAGGATTATATATAGAAACACACCCTCAGATATCCACGGAAACCTCAGTAGGGCCCAAAGCAGTATTGCAGTTCAGATAAGGAGTGAGCACAATGGTCTCAATTCTTATCTGTATCGAAGGAAAGTCCTCGGAGTGATTAATCCAAAATGTCAGTGTGGATATCCGTCTCAAAATATCAAACATATGGTCTTGGCGTGTCCTCAGTGGGCAATGGGAGGAGGAGAGGTGCTTCGAAAGGCAAAAGATAGGTCATTTGCGGCATTGATGAACAGCCCAGATGATATAGGAGAATTCCAAAATGGATCATGGCAAAAGGCTGGTTTGAACAATTCAGGCTTGCAGGAGAAGTAGAAATAGCATTGGACGAAAAGATGAGACGATGTGGACAAGGATAAGTTGGATTTCACACTGTATAAACAGTGTAAATGCACTTCCTGTAGGAAACCTCAGACAAACCCATAGATATGAGATAGATAGTTTTGGGGGGCTTTTACCGAATTGGTTTCCTCCTGTGTAGATATTTTAGCTAGATATTCCGGCATGGGCCCTTAGGGTAGCTGAATGGGCTTAATGAAATGAAATCAAAAATATTGGAGATTGTCAGATTTTATTTGAAGTATCAGACAATGATTCCTTTAGGTGCATAGAACAGTGTGGCTGGACGTAGATTCGATAATGCGTAAGTTTAAACAAACGTGCATCATAGGTACAGTCTCAGCATTCCCTAAGAATGCTGCTGCCCAGCTTGTATCAACGTAGCACTGTTATGCCAATCTACACGCGAATATGGAACTACTAATAGAGGGTATGTACGGCCCTCAAACGCATCACCCTTTTCACTACCAAGTGAACAATAATCACAACCATACATCCGGAGGGCAAGACTGAACACCTGTACGCGGTGTCCACTACGAACCTGAGTGTGAAACATTCTCCCAGAGCCAAGTTCGGTCAAATTTCGCAATGTCGAAGAAGTTGGCCCACGAGGCAATGATTCCCATTACTCCACCACGTCGTTTTTTTCGCTCCCAACGAGTTTGACTCCTACCCAAGTCTCATCAAGTCTACAAGTACATTCTCATCTCAATGACAATACCTCTCGTAGACTTTCTCTGGCCTCGGCTGGTCACCAAATACTCGCCCACGCCGATATTTACACCCGATGGAGGAAGCAAAGCGTGGCATACAATCTGGAAAGCATTTCTTTGGGATGAAAGTGATGGAGATCTACACAAGTTTACAAGAAGATGCAATGGAAGGATACAATCTCGATGTGCGTGAAATGTCAAATTTTTTGGCAGGGGGTTTTAGGAGTGAGCTTTGCTTCTGCAAAGATATCCCTTTCTAGGAATTGGCACATTCTAAAATAAAGCCACCGATTGAAGGCGCCGTGCTCCGCTCGTGGATGGTGTACTCTGGCATATTTAGAGTTACCTCAGCTTGAGCTCAGGTCGGGGAGGAGGGGCTTCTGATTGGATGTGGCGTGTGGAAATGTCAATAAATGATGTAGGCTTGTCTGTGCAACTCAATTTTTTTGCCAAGTTTTCCTCAGTGGATATTAACGGATATTAACGGAAGAAAACTGGCATAGGGAAATATGGGCTCCCATAAATAAGTAAGGTACTTGCAATGAATCCGAGACATGAGTTATGTACTTTTTATGAGTGACTCATCAAAAGCCTTATTCCTGATTGTCAAGGTTTGACCGTTGTATGAGCTTAGGTGGATACCTAAGCGTTATACTTAGGTTGTTTACAATAAGGTCGCACGGGGAGGGAACGATGGAACTAGACGAAACGATAATACTAGTCAGGACGCAAGATCGCTGTCACAACTAAGTGACACTCAACGATACGTGGCTAGTTAGCGAGTACGATGTCTTGATGGAAGCCATCAGTTAGTAGATACACGCAGCGGAACAGTCATTATAAGTACCTGTTAGTTGTGGCTAGAGTTCTCTTCTATTCTCATATAGTTTAATAAATCGACATACTCATCACCACCTCGGTTTCCGTCACACTGATGATGTACCAAAGCTCGGTGACTACTTAGACAACAGAGGCCTAATTCATATAAAAGTGGTTGGAGGAGTGTCAGCACTAAGCGAACCTGATTAACCATGTGAACTTATCGTTCCGGCACTAATTAGGATTTAAAAGGCTTTTATTCTTGGCGTTTCCGAAATGTGAAGAGGCTATGCGAAGATCAAATACCTTTCGGTATTTAACAGTAACCAGATCATAGGTATAATGGTGGCCGTAAGACTGAAAGTACTAAGAGTAGGGAGATGGTCAGAAATATATAGGTTTTCAGGATCAACGCTAAGCCAAATATAATTTAGGCTGATATCACATGAGTTAGCAAGCTCCATAATGTACTTGGCGAGGCGGGGTCTCTTACTTCCCACGCACTGGGTTACACGTTGGATTTGGTTGTTTACCCAAACGACTAACGTGAAGCTCCAACATACTCGGAATCAAGCAATATACACAGCTGCCAGTTGAATTCTTTATTTAATAACCAAACATTATTTTGATAAATTACGCATCATATCTTTTATATTTATACCAGGTGCTCTCTTTAACATAGGAACTCTTTTCTATAAACGCTATGAACTCAGGATTATGAGTTGATTTATTCATAACGAATGACCAAAGACCTTATCTATCAATTTTAATTCTACAATAGTTGCTAAGAAAACTAAATCTTAGTTATTAGTCTTTACTGATATCAGCATCCAAATCATGCCATTTGTTCAATCATGCGGGTCCGAAACCCCGAATGAGTGTAGTGCACTACTTCCCAGGACTAGAAACCGTGAAGTTTACAATGAATCTAATGAGAACGATGGGAACCGCGAAGACTGCGATATTGAGCCATCAAACCTCAGCAGTCAACCAAATACAGTCGATCAAAATAGCGCTCCACTAAATCCTGGCACTCGATGGCCCTCAATTTCGTCTATCATATTTTTAGGACTTTTAATGTTAACGATCATGCTGTCTGCTTACATATTACCTGCGGCGCTACAAATTTACGCCAAAGAAGCCATTGTCATTGAGCCTATCAGAATTTCACTTGAATCTATTACAGAGACAGGTCTAGAGTCTCGTATTCAAGCTAATGTTAGAGTTGAAGCCGCAAGGGTGCAGAATCCCTACACTAGAAAGATTGGAATAATTTGCTCTTGGCTTCTTATGCAGGTTGGTACCCAAGAAGCAAGAGTTGACCTCTATCTAGCGGGGTATAATGGTCTACCTGTTAGTAACCTTGTGATACCGGGCCTTAAAATGGACGTCCGAAACGGACATTCAAAGCTTCTTGACTTTAAAGCTCATCTCTCCATCAGAAACCCACAAAGCTTAAAGTTATTTGCGGGTGACTGGATAAGGGGCAAAATTGAACAGATACACATTATTGCTAAAACAGAGCTCTTCTTCAGATCTGGAATTCTATCTCTCGGATCCCAATCTATATCTCAATCTATTTTCATCAAAGGTTAATCTCTCAATTACTTTCTATACATAACTATACATTGTAAACCCAGAAATTCTCAAAATATTACAATTAATGGATAAACTGTATTGCGGTGGGAAGACAAAATATAGGTTCACAAACGGCCCTCAGTCGATAGATTCCTTCATTCAATCAAGTAGAATATGCTAACGTGCGTAATAGGGCCCAATATCCCATCAATCCATGAAAATACGACAAGCCTCAACCTTTATGAAGTTCCAATATCTGGCGATTCCACCCACAGTTTGGCTGCAAGAATGCTCACATCTTTTAAAAATGATTATAACATCGAGATTGAAATCCCTTCATTAGAGATTGAGGTTCTTGTACCCGGTTGCGGCAAGGAAGATTATATAAGGCTCCTATATGCCAAGTCTAATCCTATTCATGTAGATCCACAATCACAGATACATATCATAGTTGATGGAATGATGAAGAAATTACCAGCATCTCTGATGGAATCATGCCCCAAGTCCACTTTGTCACCCTTAGACGCTTTGATGTGGAAATATATACATGGTTATGGTATTACTACTCTCGTACGAGGGACAAAACACCCCGACAAACAAGCTCCCAATTGGCTAGTTGAGCTTCTGTCGAGTATTACTGTTCCTCTCACATTTCCAAGCCTTAACATGAGTAAGAACTTCGGGAACTTTTCCATCAAGGATATGGAGTTTCATCTTCCAGATATAATCCCTAATCCGGGCTTTGGAAACACTAGCCCTCATGTATCTGGCCTCGTCGAAGTAGCTGCCAGCCTACCGAAAGAGATAAACTTTGGATTAAATGTAACAAAAATCCGAGCTACAAGCAAAGTATTGTTTGAAAACCGAAAATTCGGAGATATATATGTCCGGAATTGGCAACATGCGAGTTCGGCACAAGTGAGAGGACCGAATAAACAGGGATCTTCCCTATACGTTCAATCGTACATCAAGGACGCTCCTATCGAAATAACGGATAATGTTGTATTCAAGGATGTCGTTCAAGCTCTTTTAATTGAAGGGCGAAATGTTTCACTACAAATTATTGCCCTTGTCGATATCTATGTTTCAACAGTCCTTGGCGAGGTGACCTTGACTAATTTACCTGGGGAGGGATTTGTACCAGTAAAGATTTAGTCTTCAACTCAAACTTGTCAAATTTGAATCAGGCTGATGAGTTCCTTTTGTGACAAATGCGCTTTTCTTATTAGTAGTAAATTGTCATCCAAGTGGTATAGCATGCAAAGACAGGGAAATGAAAACAGGTTAGTGACAAATTAGATACCACCGATTGCCTCACTCACCCGTAGATTACTCTTAAAAGAGACTAGCCACGGCACTATCTGGAAGTATGTGGAATTGGTTAATTATCATGTAAATAGTCTGTAACATAATAAAAAAACACAATAAGATACCATGCGCATCCTATCACATTATTGCCATTATCACCCATGAATATACAAAGCCCCCTGAGTAGTCAATCATTCAACTGAAGATAACAAGTGTATACAACCCTATACACCACCACCCTTCGACACCTTTCACAAATGGGATAGTGGAATTTTGACTGAGAATTAGCGAGATGACACTGATGGCCTCACCCAAATGCAATAGCTAGCTCCTAAAATTTTCATTATGGATTTAGGCGTACACTTCATCCGATAAGATGTAGCCAGGGACTCCTCAACCATCAAATCATCCCAGATTCGATAACCAGTATTGTTGCTATCGCTTAAATATGTATATGTAGTTTAGCTGTGACATATTGTAGAGTATATGCCTGTTATGCCTTAGGCAGTAGTATGTCAATAATTCAGTCTACTAACAAGGACCCAATCATTAGCGACTGGGTCAAGTAATAATCAACCATCGTTTTCACCTAGTCCACCTATTCAGATCTGAGCAAGTAACCCAATTAGCATCCTCCTAAGTAAACTTCGCATGTCACTACGTAATTTTTAGGTTTCCGTGTCGCTAGAGTAATATGCATTATAAAATCTACTTTCTAGTTACCAAAAATCTATATTTTACCTGCGTATATTTCTAGATGTGAGAAATTTGTTCTCTCAATAGCTCTTGAAGTACAGATTTGAAGATATCTCACACTAACAAAGGTCAATATCTCTAACAGGGTAAATTGCAGAAAATTTTTCGCGGCAGTCAGTATTATGTTAATCTAACTAACTGTGAGGATTAATCTATGCCTACCAGCTACCAGTATCGTGGAGTGTGGTTGCTCGGAAAGTTTTCACGGGGTTCTATTGTTTCTAGATGTGATTTTTGGGCTCATTATAACACAGAAACCTAGAGTATGGTATTTATGCAAAGCATGTGAGATTCGGGACTTAAATAGAGCTGGTATCCGGGGAATAGGTGATAAAACTTGAGTAATTAATGGTATTGTTGGCATTGAAGTTTCGTCGTAGTAAAGAATACATCATAGGTATTAATCTCTGTGTGTTTGTGTCACATTTCCGAGTTAAGTGGACCTTTGCGTGATTAAAATTTGATGTCGAACATAGTATAACGCCAATTAGGACAGGAGGGGAAATCATAGACAGCACTTATTCCACCAAACTTCTAATCCTTAAGTAGACATACTCAGACAATTTAGCCGGGTGGTAATGTGCTAGCATCGACAATATCTTCGGCATCTTTACTTTGATCAGATTCATTAGGCCCGTACAGGGGAGATCGGGGAAGTGCCATAAGACCAGTCCGAGCGGATTCGAGTATACCAAATGGGGCAATGAGCTTCATGAAAGAATCGATGCGGGTAGATTTTGCTGACCTAAAGACATATTTGGCGATCAGTAAGTTTCTAGTCCGTATCGACATTGCTACTTCTGGGCACCGGATGGAGCCGAAACGAGAACTTACACTTCGACGATACAGCTATTAGTGCTGATATCAAGCACCTTACCGCCAAATTGATGAGCCAAATATGTAATGCTCTTGAGATGCTGATGCTTGTGGCGTAAGGCCTGGGAAATGACCATCTTGCGCGGGTGGAACTCGTTATCAGTCCGATTGGTAGCTGATGGGGGCGTCGCAGAATCAGCGTTGGAACCTGCAGTGATCTCACGATGATGTGCTTGGAGCTCTTCGTAGTATTCGGGGCCAAGGATATTAATTTTGGCTAGCAGCAGCTCACGCTGGACAAGCGGGGCATTAGTGTAATCGAGCACAGCCCAGACTGGCACGAGGTCTTCGAGTTGGCGACGGGCTTGCTCGACCACTCCGTCCTGGCCGGAGAGGACAATAGTCATACGGGATAGATCTTCAACCTCGGTGTGGCAGACGACTAACGAGTCAATGTTGAAGCCACGCGCCGCGAGAATTCCCGATAGACGGGAGAGCACGCCTGGCTCATTCTGAACTAGACAATTGAGTATGTGACGCTTGGCGGGCGTGATAGCGGGTGACGGAGTTTCGTAGAGAATGTTGGAAACGGCCGCCTGCGCTGACCAGGACGAAGGCGTCTCGGGCGTAGGGAGAGGATGAATGCGACTGTGAATGGCCTTGTAGGCCAAGGCCGAAGTAGATGAGGCGGTCGACTCGGCACGACACCGCGATAGGCGGGCCCGTGTGGCACCCACCGTAAGGGGGCGTGATGCTCGAATCGCAGTGCCCTTGACTGTGAACATACTTGTTGAACGTGTAGCCAGCCTCTCCTAGGTCTGCTGGTTGTTCAGACCTTGATGTCAATTACTCAGGGGACGCAAATGATAAGCCTCGCTGGTGAGGGCTCGAGTGGTGGGAAGGAGCTTTTTGGCAGTCAGCAGTGAAAGGCCCATGGAGATGTTGGAGGATTGGGTATGGGAATACTCGCAAAGCTCGTGTAAAGTGGATTGCGATAATGGGAAGTAAGTGGCAGGGTATTTATTACTAAACCTACATTGGGCCACTTTTCGCATCTCTTAGGGCTCAAGCTAGTGCTTAGGAAGCGACATCACTGTAATGGCTAGTTGACTACAACGCGATCTTGCAACTATGACAATGCTTATCAAGGCTAGGACAAGCTGCTATCTGTTACCACGGACACACGAATTGTAGACTCATTCAGACAGAGTGAATACCCTCTGATTAAAGGCCCAGGATATCTCTACCTCGCGTGTTACATATCCTTCCACAACTCAGCTACAGATCTTATCCTAATCTCGCCCACAAACGCCTTAGACACCATAGATGTAGTGGGGTGTCGTCCCTGATCATGTTTGTTCGACAACGCTTTAAGTGGCTAGTGAGATGCTGTGGGCACGCCAGCGACATTCGCCTCGTCAAAGCGCCAGACAGATACCCACAGGGGGAGACGACGGTAGAACTGGAGCAGTAAATCATTCTGTGGCTAGATTCTTAAGCCGGAAAAAAGCCCCTAAAAATGGGCCCCATGTTACACCTTTTGAGCTACATACAAAATGAAAGAAAAAACGCCCTGTAGCATGTCAATCCATCAGTAAGGCAAGTAAGAAAGCTAGCTACCAGCACGCTCTCTTATATGCAAAAAAAAAAAACACCTCCTTGTGGCCTTGCAAGCGATGCGGGGGTGATGATAGAAGCAGGGGTTTACTTTGCAGAATCTCAGGGACCTTGGAAAGCCCTAGGCAGCTCTTGAATAGACAGGCGACGGCCTTTTTTTTTTTTTGCATCAGATTTTAATTGCATAAGCAGCTATCTAGCTATGACACAATATCAAAGAAAAGTACAGAATAGATGATTGAACGTAAAGGAAGAGCACTCATGCCTCAGATTTCATTTGCAAGTACCACTGCGAAGTCATGGTGACATTTTCTTCGCCCCAAGTTAACCCTCATCCATGAATACCCATCCAGGCAGGCATCTCAAAACCGCTGAGTTATCCAGACATGCCCCCATCATCCATCCCATCTTCTCCGCGCGAAATTTGATCTAGGTGTCTTCTTCCCAAGTGAAGCAGGTGTCCAGACCACTTAAACCATACCAGAGAACACCACCAGGAGGCGGTCCACGGCGCTTTCCATCGATGGCTTGTATATAAAGTGTCAGCTGCACTCTCGCAAACGAAGTCTTAGCGCGCAAAATACTCTTCAATGTGTAAATCTCCTAACCAAAACCCGAAACCTCACGCCTTTCGAGGTTGTGTGTTTCCTTTGCATCATCTTATCAACTTGTCTTGATACCTCTCACGTCCATCCAAATAACTGTCTCCCAGATTTGTGCGCCACGCTTTGCTTCCTCCATCGGGTGTAAATATCGGCGTGGGCGAGTACTTGGTGACCAGCCGAGGCCAGAGAAAGTCTACGAGAGGTATTGTCATTGAGATGAGAATGTACTTGTAGACTTGACGAGACTTAGGTATGAGTCAAACTCGTTGGGAGTGAAAATTTGACGTGATGTAGTAATTTGAATCGTTGCTTCGGGGGCCAACTCCTTGAGTATTGCGAAAGAGTGTAGCTCACACTACAAACACAAGCCAACGATGGAAGGTGTTGTGATACGCCTCCTGTTGGTATTCTCCGGTATAGTCTGAGTAGCTTGGGCACCTACTTCACTTGGGAAGAAGACACCAAAGACCATATTTTACGCGGAGAAAAGTTCATGGATGATAGAGACATGTCTGGATAACTCAGTGTTTTTGAGACTGTGTCGGAAACCGAGTTGGTGATGAATAGGTCGATTTATTAAACTATATGAGGATAGAAGAGAACTCTAGCCACAACTAACAGGTAATTATAATGACAGATCCGCCGCGTGTATCTACTAACTCATGGCTTTCCTCCAGACATCATACTCGCTAACTAGCCACGTATCGTTGGGTGTTACTAAGTTGTAACAGCGATCTGGCGTCCTGATTAGTATTATCGTTTCGTCTAGTTCCATCGTTCCCTCCCCGTGCGACCTTATTGTAAACAATCTAAGTATTACGCTTAGGTATGCACCTAATCTCATACAACGGTCAAACTGCGACAGAGACGTTATCCCGAGGGGTATTCGCGGATGAGGGTGCACTTGGGGTGAAGAAGGAGCTACTATTGCTGAAATATAATATATCTTGGAATGCCAAGAATAACTTATTTGTAAGTCCGGCTAATCAGACTATCAAATTCCCTATCCTATATCATTGTCATCAATACATCCATCACCGAAAGTTTAATGCGTATTAGCATTTATTTTACACTATTTTTTTTAATTCACAGTGTATTCAGCTATCTACCTATGACACGTTAACAACTTTTGATTCTAAGCTTCCCCTCCCCACAAATGACTATCCATTCATTCCAAATACATTATTTCCCAATTATATATCCTAATTTAACTCCCTTTATGTGCTACCATGCACTTGGATGTATCCAAATATTGTAGTAGTGCCTCCTTCCCCCGTTTTTGTTCTAAATAAGGTTGGAAGTGACCTCGGCTCTAGGCCCTGAAAGCATTTGTTCCTCTGATCTCTGAATTCTGGACAGTGTGACGACAAGTGCTGTACAGTCTGTCTTTCTTTACCACAAAAATTGCAAATATTGACTTTGTTTACGTCTTGACCTTTTGACATCTTGGAATATTGACTTATTGGACTCTTGACACGTCGACACATTCGTAGTTTAAATTTGATGAAAAATAAAAGAGCATGTCCTTCTGTTAGAGAAACAGATCATGTCTTAGTAGATAGAACGTGGAACCTCCAGTATCGGATTACGCGACTCGCTTAGTTACGAGCCGTGCACTGTCTGGACAACAGACGCGTCAGTTGTTATTCACCGAGTAATGTAAGCGATAAGTCGTAGGACGATCTGTCAAGTGAAGGGGTAGTCATTCTTTGATGACTCAAGTCATTGACAGAGTGTGGATCCTGAATTCCAAGTCCGAGCGAAACGCCAAGTCTCACGGCAAGCGAGCCGCCGAGTTTGAGGTTCCGTCAAGAATGCACCCCTCGCATTCTTTGGTCACAATTCGGGCGGCTAAGCACCTCACTCCTCCCCTACCGTATTCTGATAATTTACTTTTCATGTATCATTGATCGTTACATTATCTGAAGTATAGAGGATTTCATGTAATTAAGGAGGAGTTAGAATGTTAACAGAAATACAAGTTTACACCTAGTCTCAAGCTCTACACACATATAGATTGTCGTAGTCGGAGCCACGAGACATCCGTGAATTTCACAGTCAACATTTGTCATTATATTCTTACTAACGTGCACAAGAAACCTCAAGAGTACCTCTGACTTATACGAGGGAATGAGACACGTTTAGAATAGAGTAGATAATTAGAACACAGTTTGGTGGATGGGGACTTCTAGAAGACCCAACTCATATCACTACTGTGGGATATCAATTCAATCCTGATTCATCTACGCCTTACATTTGCTGTGAAGTGCCTCTTATCGAGTTATACAAGTGATCAGAGTACGTGTATTTTAATACCTTCGTCCTTTTACGACACTTTCAGGAAATACAGCTTAGTCAGCTTGTTGATCAAGTGAAAGCTATTCACATCCTCAGTCCATATTATTTTTTTTTTCATTCTGTACTCACTGAATCACGTCATACATTCCGCACATACCGTATTTTATCTTTCGTATTGTCTGACCCTTGTGAATCTACTTTCTATACATCCCAACAAACACTCGTCATCTGTCATGACTACCTAACCGTATGCACTTAAACGACAAAATGTCGAGTGAATAAAATAGAATTTAATTTAATTAAAGTCCCTACTGAGTCTATGGTGATTAAGGACTGCTAAAACTATCTAAATAGCCTTTAATTTCAACTACATTTTTGTTTATTGTTATGTTCGATCTTTGCCGATAGATATGGAGAGTTTGTCCAATTGAATGAGATAACGTGTGCAAACGAGGTACGCATACATGGGCCTAGAGCCAAAGCCGATATCTGGATTCTCTCTAACGTTAGCCAATCTACTTTCCACCTCTCAACAATAGAGCTGCCTTCCCGACACTCTATTAGCTTGTGATTCAATCTAACACGTGTGTACCTCCTGGAAGATACATCTTCATGTGATTTATTTCAGCCATAAGTTGATTTAATTTATCGATATCATCGGATTCACAAGATGGTGCCCCAAAAAAATGATCTACTGCTTTCTTTCTCCAGCTTTTCTGTCGGAGGCGAATATCTAATTCTTCAGATGTCTTGAAATCATGGCGCAAAATACTCAGAAGAAATGCACCGTTCTTTTCATTCTCTTCTATATTAGTCTCCGGCCACCATAGCGTAGATCCAGTATCTCGCTTGAATGAATGTAGGTGTCCAAAGTACCAGACAAGCGCCCTCGATATATTATTTTCATTCCACACGGCAATTATGTGATTCGGTAGCACTAATTCCTTCAGAAACAATGTTTGTTTAATATTTACTTTTGGAACTTCACTTCGAGTCTTTGGAGCCCATGTGCTGTACATCCCAGTTACAGATAATAGGCCACGATGAGCTAAACTGATGATATCACGACTTGAACATTTGATATTTTGTACAAGCTCTCTTGCTCCTGATGAAGATGCAGCATCGAGTGAATTATACCAATCTTTTTTTATCATATTCCAACATTCCTGTTCGGATTGAGGTGTAAGATCAGATATGATATTTTGTGTCCTCGATACCCGAGGAAGATCTCGCACAAGCGATCCAATTATTTCCATAGAAGATAATGTAGGTGAGCAGTAAGCTACGATTTTGGTCGTCTCAGAACCATCGATTTCTTCGGTCGAAAATATGTCGGAATTTGCATCAGCTGCAGGGAAATGACCATCAGAGGGAGCTTGGAAAGCGCCATAAAATGATGCCTTTGAATCACCAACAAGGATAACTAAACTCGGGTCACTTTCTTTGCCATGTACTGGCCGATTGTCATGGTATTTGAATTTCGCGTATAGGAGTGCGTAGACGCAGAGTATCATAGCTGTCGGGCTTTAAACTTGATTACACTTGTAGCCTGACGTGGATACTCTTTCTGGTTAAGCGGTCATCACCAAAGATAATTCTTATCAAGTTAGTTTGCCAATACGCACACAAGTTTTCCCGGCGAGACTTTGAAGGAATTCCCTCTCGAATTTGAGTGATTAGATCAGTGAATTCTAAAGATAAAAGATTTAGTATTTATTTTCAAGATGGGCTCCAAAGCTATCTCAGGCTTTTGATTACTTATCAAAAAGTCCATTGACACTTCACGAGTCAGCCCGGTGGCATTTCACTGGTAGCCGTGACAGGTGCGACGGAGTATAGTTGATTCTTCGTGTCAAGGCTTCCTGGATGAATTAATTTAGATGTAAGCTGGAAGTAGGGCATGGAGGATCAACTGGCGGATGGATAAGCTTTGCATTCATCATCTTCGGAGCGTCTTGAAGCAGGAAGTTTGAGTTTTGAGCGTGATTTTTTTTTTGAATGTGCCAGACACGAGGCCTGTATCTAACTCGACATGATATGGGTAGTTGACCCCACATGACTTAATACCACCAAGAAGACTAGTTCAATAGTAATTACAAAATACATGGAATCAAATTTTGTAGGTCCGGTGCCCTCCGCTCTCGTCTGCACCTACCAATGTCGTCGAAATTGTGATTTATTTTCACGGCAGATTATTTCACGATAGTTATTGCGGTGTTAACCACGGTTAATTTCCAACACATACATCAATCAAAGCAAATATGGTGCATCCTATAGAATAGAAAAAATCAAATTTATGTCCCTATTGAGTCTATGGCTATGAAGGACTGGTGCATCCTATAATTAATGTGTCTGTAGTCCCAACCAAAAGCGTAGTCTTGGCGCTCATAAACGTTCCAAAGTCGACAACTCCTCGAAACATACCGATGCAAGCACGTCCATTGACATCCTCTTCCCTCTCTCGCTGCAGGCCCTATCCCACCTGAAGTTTTATAGTGCTATTAGAGGGCTGGTTCTTCATCTGCCAAGATTGGTTGATTTAAATTGAAGTTTCTACTGAGTCCTAGACTATGAAAGACTACTTAAAGATCTACATAATTAGCTCTTTAATATATAGCCTAATTTCCTGTTTGAATACTACAATTATATGCTAGTTGATGCTGAGAGTCAGGCCCCATCCATCTGCCAAGAAGTTAGCTTGTAGATTGTGACTTTGTCTCCTACTTGCGGGTATCCAGAGCGTTGTAATTTAGCAGTAAGAGATAGCCGATGAATGATGTGACGAGCTCCGATTTGTAGTTGAAGCAGCTCCTTGATCGGTCACTGAGGGTTTTGACTTTTTAATTTTTTAATATTTTACGCCGTTCCAGCGCAGAAGTTTCCCAAGGTCACATGCTGGTTTGCTCAGTCTAGAAAAACTACCCGACGTGCCGACGCTCCTAAGATCCCGGCATATACTACCTGGAGCCAGGCCCTCATGCCAAGTGCCCCAAACTTCAAACGCATCAAAAGCACCCTGACTCTGGGACTTGTGAGTCTGCAGAGCCGAGCTGGCCGGCCTCTTCGAACGCATCAGAAGGGTCACTATGTCTTCGGATTTAGTCCTAATGTCGGTATTAGGAGAGCCCCGCACCCAGTAGTCTTTGCGATTTTTCTCGGCTGCCACAGACCCGCAAAATGCCATCGTTTCGTTGGCTGGAGAGGGGAGAACAACAAGGGCAAAGGGCTCCTCAAAGTGTATGATCGAATGAGGACTTATGAGGGGTGGTACTGTTTGAGGGGAGCTGTATGGGAGGCATTGGAGGGGATATACTACTGGTATAGGTATCCTTGGCCTATAGGCAGAGAGGACCTGCATGTCCTGCATAGTCATAGACTCAGACAGGATAATAGATGAATTAATAATTAATAATTAATAATTAATAACAATCTGGGACTTGTGATAACTACAGCGCAGACGGAATGATAATATAAATCTACATAACGGAGGGGAGATACTATTTACCGCCATTCCAAACATAGCTACTAGTAAGTGATTGAGCCCCGCTAATTAGGCAGAATGGAGCGAGCGTAAACGGTCACTGAGGTGAGGTACTATGTTGATAGATTGGGTTTTATGACTCGCGTGAGAAAGTTCGGTCCAATATTTATGAGAAGTCGACGAGGATATTGTCCGTAAAGGGATCAGTTTTGGGCGTCAAAAATTGTTCCATGTAATTGCGGTGTTTAGGATCTCGTTAGGACTCTGACAGGGATCCGACTTAGCTCATTAGCGAGGCGCTTGGAGTAGAGGAAGAGAGAGGGAAATGAGTGACAACAATCTGTGTCTTTCGAGATACCAGTTAATTTACTTTATTCACCGACTTCTTGACGGGCAGCTGACTTAGTGAAGGCACCCAATTTGTACTGCTTTATATTTTATCAACAGATATACATGCTCGTGCTTCCTTTCGAATTAGCTAAAGATACGATTATTCCTGGCTATCCTAGATATCTAGAGCTTACTGAACCTTAACACCGCCACAACTGGAAGGTGAAGAACTTGTCTTCCCGGCTATAGATATAATATAATCCTCCGTAGGTGATATATGCGTAATACATACATCTGTCTTGTGTCCTTATTAGCCCCACAAGAAATCTTAGACAGAAATAACTCATCAATATCTAACCCCTTGCAACGGTTACGCGTGATATTCAACTGGATTGACTTGTAAGGTGTTGATGAATAAGACATTAGAACAAATTACAGCATAGATCAGATCTGCTTGGAGCTCATCGACATTAGTTGTCCGTTTTATTTACATGTGACAAATTCAATCATCAATCATCAACCATTCGGATTTGAATTTTGTTGAAGAATCCTTGAAAGCTGAACACAAAATTAACAAAAACATCTAAATGAAAGCATTATCTTTAGTCGTAATCACTTGATCAGTCAAGCTTCTCACGTTAACCTGCAGGCGTCACCAAATCTAACGCAGGACAATCATGATATTCTGCGCCTTTGCACTTCTTTTGACTCCAGCGTCTGAGATTTATGAGTCGAGCTATCTAAAACTAGAACAAAGCCGGAAACCAGTTCCAAACTTGGAAAGATTAGTTTTACTAGCTGATGGTACCAAAGAATCGTTCTACGGCGCTTACAATGTTCTCTACACAAATGAATTCCCAAGAGTTCAAGCTGGAAACGACATCTTTACAACGGCTATGCAAAAGGGTATTATACCCACAAAATCACTTGCTTATTGCTCACCTACTTTATCTCCAATACAAATAGTAAAAATACTTGAAAATAATCTAATACCAAGTCGAAAATTTGATTACCCCAAACCTGAGGAAGGTGTTCTATCGGCGCAAATTTGTTTGAATGCGATTCGCAAAGAGTTGAATAGTATGAATACTGGAGGTTCAACACAAACACAGATACTCCATCAAAAAGATACCTGTTTGTCAAGTGATATTATCGGACTGGCTTTTCGGGGCGACATATCAGTTTCGGGAATCTATGCCAGTTTTGCTCCATTGAATCTTGGAGTTCCAAAAGTAAAATTCAAACGTTCGTTGTATTTGGAAAATTTGATCACAGAACATCAAATTTTCGCGGCATGGGAAAAGGAACACCTGCAGATGGTTCTTATCTGGTATTTTGGCCAGCTTCATCTTTTCAAACGAAATCGCGGGAATAAAATGTGGTGGCCGGTGACAAAAATAGGCGCAGAAGAAATGAACGGTGAAATAATTCTAGACTTTTTGCGGAATAGATTGGGATTGTTCAAAAATTTGTATCAGAAGCTTGGAGAGCGTTATAGGAAACCTAAATCAAGCGATTTTCACCGTCAATCATCGCTTACAGGTCAGGCCAACGGAAATACCAAATTAAAAAAGCTGATGGCTGAAGTCGGTACCCTGGAATTAAAGACACCACCTAGAGTCACTCACAGATACATACGTACCAGTGAAGGTTTTCATTTTTCAGATGATAGAATAAAGTTGTCTAGCTTCTGATGTTTCACGAAGATTTAATGACTATTCTTTGGGTGCAACATCCAATTATTGATGTCATTTTATATCACTCAAATCTAGCGAAGTTCTCCGTGGTGAAATTCAAAAGTTAAATTAATTGGTGGAAAGTAGTTTTTACCGCACTTACTAAGGTCTTTCCACTTATACCACGCAGTAATGTAAGACTTTGGGAACGGGATATCTTAGTTGGAGAGCGACAAAGTTGATTAACTTTGGTTTACTTAAAACTCAAGAATCATGTAGGATATGGAATCTACATTTCCGTAGATGTTTTTAGCAGAACTAATTAATTGAACCTATCAGGCTGTAGTCCTACACCCGGGAGGTTTGACACGGGTGCGTGCTGCGATAGAACTCACTGCCACTGCTAATTCTGGCTTTATTTGGCCAGAAATTTACATGAATGAAAGGCAAAAGCACGAAGGGGAATTTTTGCTGTCCTGACTCGACCCCCTGTGCCTAACCAGCTTATATCGCTTATGTTATTTTTTGTAGTAATATGGTCAGATCACTTGGTTTAAGCTTCGTATGAACCTCTTTAGTAAGATACGTGGGACACGGTATTACGCTGTAAATGCTGACTATAGAACCCTACTGTTTGTTTGTTTGTTTTGTTTGTTTATTATTTTACGTCGTGCCAGTGCGCAACACGCTTCCCAAGGCCACATGCCGACGCTCTTAAGATCCCGGCATAAACTATCTGGGCCCTGGCCCTCCTGCCAGTTGCCCCTCACTAAAAATACACCAAAAGCACCCTTCCTCTGGGTCTTCTGTTAACTATACTGTAGACAGAACTAAAATATAAATCTACATGCTAGAGAGGAGAAATAATCTACCACCGGTACAGACAGAGCTACTAGTACGTGTTTGATTCCCGCTAAATAGTTAGTATGGAGCGAGTGTAAAAGCTAGGAGTGAAAATTGGTCTCTTCAAAAAACTTAGTCTTGTGGACCCACTTGCTGAAGTCGATAGCCCCTTCTTGGATAACCCTACTGCTACAGATGAAGTCTATGTACTGGGGGACTATTCTCAACACCTGTCAGTGGTGTCCCCTACGAACCTCCAGCTCTCACTGTAGAGTCTGCAGAGCCGAGATTGAGTAACAAAGTCCTCACTTCGACGAGGATTCCCAATCGCTTTCGCGGTCTGTATCGTCTTCATCTCTCAACACATTCCCCCTATTACCATTATCATAAAGATAACCACCATCAGATCAGATGGTAGGGTCAGAGCCCTACTCTTCATCTGCCCTTGATCATGGAGGAGAAGCCATCCGATGAGTTTCCGGAGCGTACCCAGCACCCGATACGGAGATGATGGATTGGATAAAGTCGGCCTCGACTGTTACAAAGAAGGGAGATAAAGATGAATATGCGCACCTCATGTGGTCCCGGTGTCTAGGCCACGCCTGGCTGGGGCTGCAGGTTTTTTGAGACTTTTTCCCGCGCACGCAGTTTCCATTGCTACCATTTTATTTTTATTTTTTTTGGGTAGAAGGTTCCGTGGAAAAGGTGGCCGAATTCCACGGGTAAATACTGAGCTGAATGGCTATTCATCACGGGCAATATATCAATGATCTTTCAAGAGACATGAGAGGCAAGGAGCACTGTACAAGATGTGGCCTGGGCCAGAGAGCAGCTCGATGTGCTCGGATAGTCTACGACTCAAGTAGTACGATAAAACACACACAGAAGTCTATGTAATGATAGTCGGGTCATGTGACCTGACTAGCTTAGTTTACTTTTTTTTTTAAATCGTTTAACGTGTATTCAGCTATCTAGCTATGACACATGACCGGTGCTATGTATACATGTTGGATGACTCTTTCGACATTAGAGACACTCATACTCTGGATTTCATTTGCAAATACCGCTAAGAGGTATGCTTGCTTACACAAATAGTCGACCCTCCTCCGTTAGTACCCACAAAAGGGAATTTCGAAACCATTGGTTATCCAAGCATGCCTTCGTCATCAATGCATACCAGCGCCGCGAGAAAAGTGGTTGTGTTTTGCTAGATTTGAACCAGCGATCTACTGTCTCAAGTGGGATATGGTCCAAGCTATCCAGACTCTACTTGGCAGACCGGCCAAGACGATGTACCACCGCACCATCCAGCCATGGTGATTTTTATAGTTTCGCCTGCACTCTCGCAGCCGAAGACTTGGCACGCACAAAGCTAAATTTGTAGAAGCTCCTTGCCAAAATTCAAAATTTCAAGCCCGTAGAGAATGATCCATCTTCTGAATCATCTTGTCAACTTGTCCTGATCCTTCTCACGTCCATTACAAAGAGCTGTTTCTAGATTTGTGCGCCACGCTTTGCTTCCTCCCTCGGGTGTAAATATCGACGTGGGCGAGTATTTGGTGACTAGCCGAGGCCAGAGAAAGTCGACGAAAGATGTGGTGATTGAAATGAGGATGTACTAGGTCATAATTGTAGACTTGATGACACGAAGATAGGAGTCAAACTCGTTGGGAGCGAAATAACGACATGGAGGAGTAATTTGGATTTTTGCCTCGTGGGCCAACTTCTTTGATATTGCGAAATTTGACTGAACTTGGCTCTGGGAGAATATTTCACTCCCAGGTTCGTAGAGGACACCGCGTACAGGTGTTCAGTCTTGCCCTTCCCAATGTAAGTTAAAATACACATATCCATACAGTCATTCATAATACACTCTCATTCACACATTGTCTTAACTGTCAAACCCAAGTGTACGTTCCCAATTTCATATACTAAGTAAAACATAAGCTGATATCAGTCAACAAAAATTATTCTATAAATTATAATAAATATTATCAAGGAAATAATGACTTCTCAGTCATTGGAGTTGTACAGCTCAATGATTAAGGCAACCATCGAAGTGAAACTCAGTACAGAATTTGTTGTCACGTGTGTATCAACAACGTGGCCTACTTGATGGTCCCAATTATTCTAAATCCTAACACACATTCACATATTCGTATCAACAATGATGGAGGCATGTCTGGATAGCTCAGGGCTTTTGAGACGTTCCCCTGGGTGGGTATTCACGGATGAGGGTTGACTTGGGGTGAAGAAAAAGCCGCCATAACTTCGCAGTGGTACTTGCAAATGAAATCCTAGGCATGAGTACTCTTTTTGTAAAGTGAGTCATAGCTAGATAGCTGCATACGCAATTAAAATCTGAAGCAAAAAAAATTAATAAGTTCGCATCAACATGACACGGAACGTATCCCTACTGCTTTCTAGCTATTCCCTACAAGTCGATCCCTAATAAGTGCATCTTAGTTTGGTCATCACGGGCGCGATGACCAAATCATGATAACCACCTCTTCTGGCCCAGTGCGTCGCCGAAGAGCTCGAGCTTGTCCAACGCGTTGCGAAGGGCCGAGCTACTTGGGCTCAAACCTTTCGTAACAATGTTTGGTCAGCTGTTGAAGGGGCTGATCCTCTAATCCAGTCCTTCGTGCGCGAGCAAATGGATGCGTTTCTCCTTGCGGTTGCTTCCGGGCGCTTTATGCAATACAACAGCCAAAGACAGCACAAGCCAGCGGGCTCATTACCCAAGCCTAGCCAAAGCATACCAGCACGACCTCCCATTCCCACAGCAAAGCAACCACAGAGTTGGGCATCGACCGCCACTGTCCCTCCGGCGCCTTCTTCGTCTCGATCCAACACAACGTCCCGCCCTTCTTGTACGCCCGTTCCAAAAATAACTGCAATCACCAAGGGCCCAAAAGCTATCTTCCGCCTCTCTGAGGAAGCTCCACTCCTCAGAGCAGACGCAACTACAGTCAATTCTGCTTTCATTCAAATTGTTCCCGGACTTAAGGATGGAATTGCCTCCGTTTCTCGCTGCTCAAATGGTTTCTGCATCGCTTTCTCGTCTGATGCATCGCTAAAAATTGCGATGGAAAATGCCGATGCCATAAAGGCGTCTCTTTCAGGTACTCTAATTCAACTTGAGGAACGCATTGGGTACGTTTTTAAGCGTATCCCACGCACTATCTGGAATCCGGTCTCCAATCTGGTTCCTACCACGCTTGATGACGTTAAGAGCATCGCACAGGCACAGACAGGCGTCGCTCCGTCTAGCGCCCAATGGTCTTTACATGAAGATCGCCATGATTCTCTACACACGGCGGTTGTTTTCTTCCCAAAAGAGGTATCCACTTTTCGAATCGTTGACAGCGCCCCTTCACGACGCTATATCCCTAACCCGAAGTTCATCCAGTGCGATGCTTGCTTTGGGCTTCATCAATCCTCTCGCTGTCGCTCTCAAGCTTTGTGCGCTCGTTGCGGTGCCATTCGTCACCAAGGAGAATGCCGCAACATGTGCCGGTGCATTAACTGCCTGGGGCCACATTCTGCAGATGACTCTAACTGTCCTCTCCGCCCTCGCCCTTTCAAGGGCAAGCTTATTCATCCTTTAGAGAAAGCAATTACGGAACTCCGTCCACGTAACCGTAATATTCTCCGGAAAGAGCGTCGCGCAGAGGCAGCCGCAGCCGCCGCAGCCCCTGCTGCCAACTCCGCAACCTCCAACTCTCCTGGTAGACTCAGTGCACCGAATATCTCGACGAAAGCCCCCTCCGTTCCTCAACGCACGCCTTCTGCTAGCCAGAACAGGTTCACTCCTCTTGCTTCTGCTTTGGATGGGTCCATGGAAGTAGACCTAGACCAGCAAGTCTCCAATAATCCCTCCAACAGTACCTCCCATGACCGATAGAGTCTATTTTAGGAGCACCCCCCCCCACCTCGCCTCCGTTTTTTCCAAGCAAACGTTGGGCGTGGTGGATCTTCTCACCTCATTCTTCTACAAGCTGCATTTTAGGGAATATATGATGTGATATTCGTCCAAAAGCCCTGGACAAGAACAATTAACCAAAAGAACGTAACCAAGTCCCATCCGGCCTGCGTTATTTTCACTCCTCCTAATCATGACTGGAAAAATTCGCGCCCGCGCGTTCTCATCTATGTCCGAAAGAAATCTAACC